TCGAGAAGAAAGGCCCATGGGCCCTTGTCCTTTTGGGCTTTTTCTAATCTCATTGAACTCTACTTATGGGCAAAATATCGGCTTAAAAGCTTTGAATCACTTCGAACGGTTCCCTCGTGAGTGCTTTCATCATAAAGGAAAAAGTTTTTAGAGAAAATAGTGATCTTTTTATAAACCTTGATCACAGATATTCTGGATCAAAGAATCTGATTCTTTAATCAGCTTCTCGTAATTCTATACTTCCCTTTCACCGTCATGTTCTCTACGCTGAATATCTTTAGTCAACCTTTACAAAAGAAATCGATATTTTCTGATAACTATATTGTCTTGACGAACGAATAATATCGAAAACTTTTCTGTCACTCAGTAGCTGCTAAAGGAGCTGTTTATTTTACGATAACTTCTAACCTTTCACAAATTCCAATTCCAATTAGATCGAAATTGAAGCTAGTATATCTCTAGTGCGCCAATGCGGTATATTTCGACCGATAGTACCGTTACCGTTGGATCCTTAGATAGAACTCATCACTAACCGAAAAAATTATTCGAACTTGAACAAATCAAGAAATTCGTTTGTTACCTTTCGCTCAGGCATAGAAATATTTACATCATCTGCTTCAAGAATTACTTAATATAATATTAAATATCAATGTAAAGTCGCGCAATATTGGCCTATTATGAATAAAGATCTCTGAACTTATCGTTTATTCACTATTCATTTTGTGATAAAATCAACAGAAACTATATTAGAAGCTGATACTCTTGTTTTTCGTTTATTGCATATCCAAAATTCTGAGAAATTGACATGAATACATGAGTAATGATTTTCATTGATTTCAGTTATTGAAATCAGTTTGTTCCCCCTTGGAAATTTTATTGAAAATTTTGTTAATTTTTATCATAAAAAAATACAAATTAATTAATGAGTTTGACTATAAGCAAGTGTGTTTCTACAACGAATTAAAGCTGAAAAAGCACAACGAAATTTTCTACCTGTAGAATAAAATATGAGAAATGCAAATGTATTCTTAATATAACTTAGAGGAAAACCAATAGAAAGAATCAGATTAATAATACCAATGTTATGACATGTTTTCGGTGAATTATAATTTATGTAAATTTGAATAAAAAGTATTGGAAAGACTGTCATTGGAAAAAGTAAATCAAGACATATCAAAACTTTTGCTATTGAATATGAATGATCACGATCATTTTGTAATGTAATTGAGGAAATTGTACTACGTCGTTTACCACAAACAAATCTATTTTGTCTAGTTAAATAAACAATCCGAATAATAAGTATAAAACAAATAAATATAATCAAAATTGGTATAATAGCAAATATGATTAGATTATAGATAGGCCAAATTCTTTTTAAAAAATATTGATAATTTCTATTCGATGATTCACAATGATAATAAAAATTATCCAAAATACATTGATTCTTTGGTAAAATTTCAGTAATAATTGAATCATTAAAAAATATAAGAAAATGAAAATTAGTAATAAAAGAAAAACTAATTAAAATTATGCAAATAATATTTGCTGAATGTTGACGACATAAAATTAATTTTAATGAATTTTCTGTAACATATAAACAACGATCAATATTAATCATAACAATAAGCCAAATGAATAAATAACGTAAAAAATACGTAAGAAAAAACATAAACTTACATGTTATAGGAAGAAGATTTTTTATTATTATTTCATTATCAATTAAAATTGGTAAAAGATAATGATATGTTATATCAATATTAATTATTAAAATATTTACTATACATAAAACAATAAAATAAATATTTATAGATAAATGATCGATCCAACGAACAAATATAATTAATGAAAATATATTACCAATCGTACCAAAGATTATAAATCCTATCGTCCAAATAGAGTAAATCCAATGAGATATATTTGTTAATTTTATATACTCATCAAAATCAATAGGTAAAGTATTATTAAGTGGCATAAGTAAATTTCTTTCAAAGTTACTCATATTTTTTTTTTCATCGACGAGAGAAAGAAGCATCACTTATATATATATATATATGCTGTGTTTACCTATGTTGGAAAAAAACTCAATGAATATTTTTTTTATTGAATGACTTAAAATGATGTAAATTAAATCAGAAATTTTGTAACAGTCATCAAAAAGCCTTTCGAACGTAAAAATCATGTATAACATTTTATATGAAATACTTAGCTTAGTTGAATGGAAAAAAAAACAGATGGATGATGTTTTTTTTTTTCTTAACGAACTAAATTTAAAAGCATATTGTTCGTATAAAGAGATTATTTTTTAACAATACAAATTATCTGATAAATTAACGCAGTGAATTCAAATAGTCAATCAAATCAATAGAATTTCATTTGATTATTTCGATTTAATAGCGATATGATCTACCAAATATATATATTTTTTGTTGTTGTTGTTGAATATTTGATCAATATTTTTTAATAAGCAAATGAATAATAAAGAAAATAACTATAAAAAGTTAAGTTTTCATTTAATATTAAATTTTAAATAACAAATTTAATGCATTTTTCTTTTCTATTAATACATGACACTATTGAATATATATAATAACTTTTCATTTCCATGTATACAAAAGAGAAAATCTTTCGTAATCAAAACTAAATAATTAAAAGAATCTTTATCATTGAATGAATGAATTTTTTATGAAAAAGCTATCGATTAGTGTGTGAAGCAGTTAGCACAGGATTATGAAGGATAGAAAGAGTATTTCCGTTGACACGTTCTCTAATAGTATCAAAGTGTGAAAATTTTTCTATTATACAGTGGAATCCTCGAGAGAACCTTCTCAGATATCACCCTCCGATTTCAATGATTATTTTTTGTCTATGGATATTGTATAGAATTCTATTGAAAACCCTAAGAAAATATGTCAGTTCCTGTTGAAACTTGACAAAACTATTGAATTTTAGAGATGTTAAATGTTCGCTAAAATCCTTTTTTTATTTACTTTTATCATGAAACTATCTTAATTTGAAGATCTCATATACAGTAGCTTGTATGAAAGGTTTTAAAACTTGTAGACTTCATATCTCCGAAACCTGACTTCCGATAGGTGTCTCTGGCAAATAGATACATTAAAAGTTCAATAATTCCACCAACTCTATATATGAGAACTCAAATTATTTTTTTTTAAGGCGTTTATTAGAATACTAAATAGTATCTATAGGCGAAAAATAAATATTGTATTTGAAAATGGATATCTGAGGAAATTCTCTCGTTAGTTTTGTTTAATGCTAAGCTTTGTAGTGATCGTGTATTAGCCTCATCGATCATGAAGTGAAAAAAATGCAACAGCAACCTCGTAAAACAGACAGGCATTGCTGTTCTATCTCAAGGCAAAATGATGACAAAACCGACGTTTTCTTTTTTTCCTTTTCTCTTCTGTCTTGTGACTACTTTTCCTCGGTTCTTTTGTTCGTCGTCTTCGTCTCGACATTATTGCTATGCCAATTGAACATCACGTGCATAAGCGATGCCATTTTTTCTATGAGGCAACAAACAGAAAAACATCGAGGCACGTTCTACGTTGTTTCTTCATTGTGCGCGTTCTTACTCTTCGATTATTTTGATCTAGAAATTGGCAACATCTTTGTCATTCTGTTTTTCTATTTACCCCTCGGCATTTTATGTCTTTATCTATTATTTAATTTTAAACCAATGGACCATACAAATAGCAATTATGAATTATGGCACATACACAATTTTTATTCATTTCAATTTTTTTAATTATATCATCGTCATGCCTCTGTTAATATTCATGCAAAATAGTTTACAATTCATTTATCTTACAATTGTAAGTCTGTTTATAGTTAAATATTAGAATAAAAAAAAAAAAAGAAATTTTTATTTTCTTGTGTTACTATTGATTAATCGATCTTCGGACAAAAATTATGTTATTTGTTACCCTGAATAGAATTTTGAGGTATTAAGTAACAATAATATCTTTTTTTCATGTACACCTATAGAATATTCGAATATGATGCTCGGAGTGTGGAAATACTGCTAATATCGATTATGACGCAATTAATAATTGTCAAGAACGTAAAAGAAATTCACTTCTACAATTCAGTACAAAATGATTTTCTCGAAAGTCGAGGAGAGCAAAAAGGAAAAACAGATAAAAGGAACACTGTTTGTTTCTTAATTAAGGATAGTTTAAATTTGTTTTGTGAACTGTTCTAAGTGTCAAATTGCTTTTGAGTACGAATTATGTAGGTTCTAATGACCTATGAATGTCTTGAAAAAATTAATATCAAGATGCTATATGGCATAGAGATATACTTTAATGAGAATAATTATCTGGAAAATTATCAAATCTTTTGATTGCTTCTATCCTAAGATACACCTTTAGTAAAGGTATGTTTTTTTATGCCACTCAATATCGAAGTCTGTCTCTGCGCGCAAATTTTCAAGTCGAAAATCATTTTTGCAAGTACGGTTTCATGACAGCAATCAACTAATAACCTAAAATTTTTTCAGGAAACTCATAGTTTATTAGAATTTAAATGATACATATAGTTCTGATATAAAAATGATTTGACACTTAGAAATGTTCCCTTGTGAGTGTAAATTTTTATTTATTTTTTGAATATTGTAACGATTTTTGCACGCATATGCTGATTCAGACACGTCTTGAAAGTAATGTGTTTTATATCAAAGGATAGAGAACTTCGTGCTCTATCTGCCTACGTTTTATTCCATATTTTTAGCATTAAAAATAATGTTCGTAAAAGTGATATTCTTCCTGTGAAATGTTAATTACTATGCTGTCTGATTCAAAGTTGAATTTTGAATAAAATGATCTAAATTGTTGCTAGAATATTTAAAACATTGTAAATGTTTTGATTTAGAAAAAAAAAGGAAAAATCTGATTAGTACGTTTGAAAAGAATTTTTCAGTATTTTCAAATTTTTTTAGGTTAAAATATTTTCATATAAAAATTTTTATTTCTAAGACTTGAGAAAGATACAAAATTTAAACGTAGAATATTATAGGATATTTTATCCTTTTTTTTATAATTCACTATCATCCAATATGTCTTTAATTTTTCGAAAAAAAAATTACGATTAATTTTTAATGACCTTGAAATACAAAGAATTCATAGAAAATCATTTTTTTTTCCGAAATTTTCTGCAAATTAACGAAGAATAGTGTTGATTATATCATGATATTTTTGCATCTTGTCTTTGAATCAATATTTTCACTTTTTTCGAGATCATTGAATTACAAAATTAGAACTTAAAAATGTCGTTATCTAGCAAGAATTAAATAAAAATTCCGATAAAACATTATATAAGTACTTCTCATCGCATCAATAATAAAAGAATAAAAAAAACAAATATTCAAATGAAATAATTTAAGCATTCATGTAGACATCTCCTTATATTTGAATGACATTTATCAATTGAATAAATGCAGTGAATATACACCTGTACAAATGATCGAACGATTTATGATGTGCATTTGTAATGAAATTTAATACGCTTTTTTTTTTCTTCATAGGCAGTAGGTACTTTTTTTTTTCTTTTTTGAAATGTCAGATGAAAGATGTATATTTTCGTGAGAAGGATAAATGCATAATACACAGTTGGTGAGCATCAATAAAAATTAAATTAAAAAAAAAGAAATGTAATGAAATAAGCAACAGCATGTGACAAAAATTTGATTAAGTGACTTGTAAAGTATTTTGTTTAAATGTCTGACATAAGTTTGTATATTTCTGTTTATCGCTTCCTTACTTCTTTTGAACCAAAACGAATAAGTACTAGCAGAGGAAGGAAGGAAGGAAGAACTTATTTTCATTTATTCAGCTGGCAATTGAAGTACTCATACTTATACAAATTTGATTGAAGACTAGCTATATTCCTTTAACTTAATAGCCCTTAGGAGAGTTGTACGTTTTTGCATATTAGCAGTAAGCCCTTAATGTACAGCTTGAGAAGGGTCGGACCTGGTGCTGTCTTATTGAATTTATAATTCATTATATTTCTTTCCAGATCAGTTGGTTTTACAATATAAGTTCAATGTTTCGTCAATTGAAAAACCGACTGCAATGTTCCAATCAACCGAATACACATAAGATTTATTTATCAATTGATAATGAAGTACGAGAGAATGATCTATCAAAACAATGATTAGTATCCATATTGTTTTGTTCTTTTGTTTTTAGTTGAAAAATGTAAATCATAAATTAGATAAATTATTTGATGAAAATATTTTATTAAAAGTTCAAATTGATAAATTAGAAGGACGAGTAAATTACAATTTTTTTTTTAAATTATTTCTTTTTATTGTTCATTATTTTAAGAATGAAAATTGGATTATTAATGAAAAAACTTATTTATTAAAACGTATTGAAAAATTAGAAAATGATAATTGTCAATTACGTGAAATTTATCAAACTTATCAAATGCAAAATGAAAAATGTATTCGATCAATAACTGATCTAATTATAAAAGTACTCTTAACTCAACAAGTAAGAATCATTATATCAAATACCATTTGACCTAAACAAAAAGAAAAACAAGCCTACTACTCATTATTTAAGTCAAATATTAATCATAAGAAGTTCTTTTTTAACTAAGACATAGTTAAAATAAACGAAAATGCGTTCATAGAACTCAATAGATTTTAATGCACTAATGTCTTATAGAGAGCTTGAATTTTTTTTTCTTGTAAACTGTTTCCTGTGCTCAATATCAGCTAATTATATCGCGTTTATTTAGCAGAATTTAGTTTTTTTTTATATTAATATATTATCTCATGAACGTTAAAATAAAGATTGTTAAATCCAAGGTAGCATGCTCAGTATTTAGACAACATGTGAGTACATATTTGAATTGATTTCTGAGCCAATGAGAGACTATTTACAAATGTTATAACAGAAAAAAAATATTATAAAGACGCTTTTTTGAAACTCGATAGATCCTATTTAGCTGTCTTTATGTATTCTTCTTTAATCTGATTCATATTCGATTATAATCTGCTTATAAAATAGATTTATTATAAGTTTGCTGTATTATGTTTATTGATACTACTTATAATGTGAAAGATTTAACAGCAACAATAAAAGTTTAAATAATCCTGCTTTAATATATCAAAAGAAAAAGTAATATAAAATAAATCAGCATTAAAGAATTGAAGATTATGTTAAAGTAGATTCTAAAAGTTTGGAAAATATTTGAAATCCACAAATTATAATACTTTTTCAAACGAAAAAAGTATAAATTGTCTATTGAATACATAGGTGTCGCATAGAAAAAAAAAAGTGTGTTTTAATTGTCTGACTTCGATAAACCATTTATCATATAGTTCTAGAATTCGTACTCTATCTAGAAATTGTCGCTGTATTATAAAACCTTGTTCTGAATAATTTCGTAAACATCTTCTAACGATAATTTGAGAAGATAATAACGGAACAACAAAAAACAATTTTTTATGTGGCATTGATACATCATCACATTAACATGTTTTTTTTCCAAACTATAAGACCAATAGATTTTTTCGTTCGAATCCATTCTGTTTTATGCTTTTTTTGTTTCTTCTTAGATTTCTTTCATTCCATCACTTAGATTTTTGTACTCGAACGTGTTCATCGTATTATTTCTTACTTATTATTGCGTAGATACATTCTTTTCATTAGGATTAGTATAACCCATTGAGAAATATTCTAGCGTAAAGAACAAGAAATAAATTCGACACTTTAGTTAGTTTTATTTTCTTTACTTCGTCTTAGCGTCTAAGACAAAGTAAGTAGTTGATATCTTCAAAGCAAATCTCTGAATAAATTATTGTCAAGTAAATATGACGGCATGATGAAACTTGTGCACATGTCACTTATCTACCCACACATCGTTACTTCTTATTATAATAAAATAAGCAAATCCTCTAGGATAGAGACATAACTCAATACTTCATGATTACTTGAGGACTAGTTAAAACTAAACTTTCTCAATATTTTAACTGTATTCCTATCGTATATCCATCATTGTATCGTAAGAATAATATTAAAACAGTTGGGAAGTGTAGTTGTAATTAGTTCTCAAGTAATCATGAAGTACTGAATTATCTCTTGACCGTATGGGATTTCGCTTGATTCCGAAATGAAACACATAAAAACTCGTTTCAGAATTATAACGTGTTAAGATGTGTGATTTTACCATCTGGAATGCGTTTATTCTTGAACTATTTTAAAATTTTTTTCTTATTGGGTTGTTCTCTTTTCTCAAGTGAACAGTATACAACAAAAGCTTCATATATCTTATCACATACATTTTTATTTTGTCTAATTGAAGTATGTTTGTTACTTCAACAGTCGGAGTTATATATTCATATTATCTTTACATCTGTCGCATTTTTCTAGACGATTTTTGTTGACTATTGTAAAAGCAAATATAATTGGTCATTTTTATGTGTGCTAAGCGTTCTCTTTTTTTTTTACCATACCTTGAGATTAAAAGATAAAACGTTTGAAATTTCGCGTTTTTTTATTCTTACATAACTAAAGTTAAAAAAAATTATTATTTGTAATGAAAAAAATAAAATAAAAATAAACATAACTCTTTGTTTTACTTTTAATGCATATAAGAAAAAAGCGATAATAAAAACCAATGATAACTACTAGTGTGTAGACAAATAAAATAAACCAGAATAAACATGACAAGACACGAAACACAACGATTTCAAAATGTTTTTGGTCGATGCTTTTCACTATGTTACGAAAATTTAACAACTCAGGTGTGATTTCAAATTAGAAAACTTTATAAAATTAACATTGAAATCAAATGATAGTGTGTATTAACTACATTATTTCTATTTATAGGAACTCAGAAAACAACATATTGAGCGACATAATGCAAACGATACAGCTCACCGGAAGAAGAGACAAGAGAAAGTAGGCGAACTTTTTTTTTTTTTTATTTCACATGAGTAATATGTTACATTTATTTTTACTCAGAATGAATCATTTCGTCGAAATACAACTTGTATTTTATGTTCTGCTGCTTGTAATAAATCTGTATGATTAATATTATAATTATTTTTCAGCAAATATTCTTTGTTTTTTCTTACTATTAGGATAATAGTGAAAATACCACTAATGATGAATCCATATGGTCTCATCAGCAATCGATGATCGTTGAAGATCAAGATCAAAAAACAACAAATCAATCATCGGGTATGCACTCGAGTATTTTCTCATGAAGATGTTATGATGTAACATTATTTTTTCTTCGTTTCTCTATCGTACACATGTCTAATTAGATATTACAGAACGACAAAGAGAAAGTGCGTAGAGGCAAAGAAAAAGAAACCGAGAAGTGTATGAAGCAAACTTCTGTAATTTTCCGTTAAGAAAAAGAATATACGAACGGACATCAGAACGGCAGCATCTAAGACAAAAAAAGAAAACTAAGTGCACTCATTAGATAAATAAATATACATGAAGACACCAAAATTCGACACAGTAAGATAATATTATTTTTAGAATATTAGTCTTTCATTAAAAATTTTTGTTTATAAACAAAAATTAATAAATTTACAATTAGAATTTACTTCTATATAAATAGAACTTTTCTAATAGAAGGAAATATAAAATAATAAGAATATTATTCTTAAATGTAAAAATTAAAATAACTGAAATTTAAGGATATCGTGTTCAACAATTATTTAATCACTATAGTTTTCATTCAGGTCAATTGTTTTTAGTTCTGACTAAAAAATATCATTTACACACAAAATCTAACTATAAATATTAAACTCTATCTTATCATACTCGTAGGCATTACATACATAAATTTGATTTCTAATCTACTCTAACATATGTCATCAATTTTTGTTTTCCACATTAAAGACTCTGAATTTATAGTTGCTCAAAAAAGAAAATAGAGATAAATTAAGAAATAGAATTGCATTTCTCTATGATACTTCAAGCAGTATTTCCAACTAAATAAGAATGTGTAAACATTTTCACTCTCATTTCGTATTATACACACATCAACACTCAAGTAATACATTTTTTTTTTCACTATTGTGATATGAATATTAATTAAAACATATAAAAAAAAACAAATGTGTCAACATTTCTAAAATATTATTAATTTGTCTATATTTATCTTTAAATTCTAATAATGAACAAGTGTAATTAATCTTAGATTTGATCAAGTTTTAACAACTGTTAGTACAATTCCTATGGGATAAAAAATGTAAAATATGATGTAGTTGCTCTTGCTAATCACATGGAGATTGTTTTATTTGATCTATTTTGTAACAATCTTTACCATCTCTCTCTTGAGAAATGCAGGAAGAAAGTAGTTTATATACGTATATCATAACGAAAGATAGGTTATTGATATATGATCTTATTAAATTTCAACATAATAAGTTAACAAATATTTATACTTTATTGACAATATATAGAGGCTAAAACTAAATAGAAAAAAAAAGTCAAGTGGCATTTTTTCGATAGATTATACTTTCTCGTTAATTTTTCTTTACTTTAACTATTTTTTGATTATCAGTGTTTTGACGATATGAAATAACATCAACCAGATATTGCACTTTTTTTTCCAGTGTTAGTAAAAAAAAAATCATCATTTTTCCTAACATTGCAAAGTTTAAGGTTTGATATCATAACACTACAAACGATATAAAACATAATGAAATATCGTTCTTGTCTTTTTTGCTAAGACTAGAAATTCTAAGTTCTGATGTAGCGATCTCATATCCTTAGGACACTCACCACAACAAAACCCAGTTAAAAGAAAAAAAAAATTAGCGAACAGGAAATATAAGCAGGAGTGTGTTCCATTGCTATAGTGAATACGAGTGCTATAGCGTCCAATAGTTTCCAGGAGTTTTTTTAAAATTTTTATTCGAATCCCATGATTCAAATGTTTTACATGTATCAACATATAAATTTAATATGTCCCGAAAAAAAAAATAAATCCCTCACTGTATCTACTTGTTCGCGTAGTCAGAATAAGTACCACTTATATTGAATCGATAATGTCAATGATCAGTAAACTGTACCTGTATATCCCTAACTATTAGTATAACATGAAAAGATCTTTCATAATAACATAATAAATATCAACAAAAGTTGTATTAATATCAAAGTGATTTATTAAATAGAATCTGCGATTGATTTCGTTTCATATCACTAAGTAATTACATTATTATATGAAGTGTAAAGACTTTATCGAAAACTAAATTACTTTTTAAATCAATTAATATACGGAATATTCAATCTTTTCTAATTTTATAATCATCGACGATCAAGGTCAAATTCTTTGTTTGTTCTTTTTCTTTAAGATTACTCTCCATCTTTTCTGTAGTTTCTGAAGAATGACTTATCAGAAAAATTTCTACTAAACTCCAACTTTTCGAATGTTGTCTTCTACCAGATATTAGGCTCACAGTTGAACTTGTTTTTCTTTGTAGGTTTTCGACTATTTCACATTCGATGAGATAGTTCTCTACGTTCAGGGAGTATCTTTTTATTTATATCTGTGAGATGCTCATAATCAGACATGCATGAATAATATACTTATCGTTGACTATAATCCTCTTTTATTATTAATCATAGAATAAAAAAAATTAAAAGTAAACCACTCTAAAGATTTTGACTCCGCAACCAGCGATTAGGAGTAGCCTTGAATATAAAAAAACAAGTCCGAAGTAAATAGTTTTAGATTTTATCATATATGATTATATCTTGAATAAACGCTGTTAAAATAAGTTTGCTTGTTTTATAGATCAATAGAATACATTTCAAAGTATGTATATCAATGAAAAACGAAACATTGAAAAAAATTTGATTTTCATGTCCAGAGAATGGGGGGGGGTGGATTCAATAAAGTAATACTATTCTGTTTTATCATTTATAGAATTAAATAATCATTCCTCAACACTGGCTACTGTTAATTCTAAATCCGATAAATCATCAACTTCTTCAACTAATAAATTATATTTCATTTTAAATAATGAAAAAGCACCAGTAAAATCCACACAAAATAATCATCATCCATCAAGTGTTAATATCGTACCTATTGATGATTCTCATCATAAACAACAATCATCAACATTAACAAAGACATTGAATAAAAATCGATCAAATCAACAACAAACTAACACAACTTATTCTAACCATGAAAGGTCATCAACACAAACATCATATCATACAACAACATCTATATCAAAACCATCTCGTGTAAGAAAAAATAATTCTTCTATAAAAAAAAAAAAAAAGAGAGAACTTACTTTCGCAGATTCCAACAACAAAGACTCGTCCATCAACAACAAATAATCGACAACGTCCACATGTTCCTACATTTACAAATCAAAAGACAGCTTCGCCATCTCAAATAACTCATAAATCATCTTGTCCTCCTATCACATCAACAAAACCAGTCGAATCATTGCCATCTGTACGTATTACACCAACACATCCACAATCGAGATCAACGATTATTAATAAACCAAATATTATCATAACAAAACCATCGACAACAACAAATAATAACAAAACACATACTTCTTCTGCTGTTCGACAACCAGCACATGTTACTAATCTTGATACATTAATAGCCGGAGAACAAAATAAAAAACAATCTGTCAAACCAACCATCATTTCACCATCACGTATAATTAATAATGTTCAACATTCATTATTTTCGAAAGATACTGTTAAACGAATTCGACCTGTTCGTAGTCATGAATTGAAATTATTTTCATGTCATTTAACACCCGATATATCACCAGATGAAATATTATCTCAAACAAATGAATCACTCTCGACTTTAACACCATGTTCATTAGAATCAATAACAGATAATAAATCTACTGATAATCAATTACACAAAACAAATAATAATGATTCAAAACCATCTTCAAATATTTCTACTGATATGAGAGATTTTTCAGAAGATAGTCTTAATGAACATGATTATATTCAAAGATTACTCAAACAAAGTAAGTTCATTTCTTTAATTTTATTAGCATAATAAACTAAAATAGATATATATATATATGATAAGATTTTGAATACTTAGGATTTACAAAAAGCTTTAAAAAATTAAACAAATAACTATCAATTTTTCGTATTCTTTTTATTTGTGTAATAAAAATAAAAAGTAATTAATTGATAATTCTTATTTTATTCTCATGAAATAATTACCTGAATTGGTAATTACCATTATGTTTACAAGGAGATTCCAGTAAGGCTAGAAAAAGATTTGTGTCTATAGGTCTCTAGAGCTGAGTTATAATTGTTTTACTAAGTGTTCAATCCGAAATTTTGTTCATTGATAAACCTGATAATCCTTAGAATATCTTAAAAAATTTCAGCTGAAAAAAATGTTCAAGATATTGAGTTTTCAAAAAAAATGATCGTTTATCATAAAAATTAAGTTTACTTGAAAACTCAATATTTCGACAACACATTCTATTTAGCTAAAACTTACAGGATACTCTACTAATTATAATTCAATCTGTTTATAGTCTAAACCCATATCCAAAATTAATGTTCGAATTTTGACTAGAAACTTTGTACAAATACAGATTTTAACGATAGTAGTATTTAGTTATTGTAAATATTTCAAGTCTTTTGATTTGCTTCTATCCTGAAAAAGCTTGTCAGCGTAGCCTCTTTGGGGCTGAAATGTGGAACTCACATATCTCCTTTGGTTTCATTATACTAATGACAAAATACCCAATATTTAAAATCTCCAAAATATAAGAATTTTTTTTCTAAAGATAATCGATGATTGGAAAAT